CCCAACCCACTTGCAAGCGGCCCTTAGGGTCGCTAGTAAGGAAAGAGAAAAGAATTATCTTCTTTTATTTGGAAATCCATAAAACAACCCACCTTCATTGACCAGCTCAATGAAAGCCAATCCAGCATGCTTTTGTAATGATGTCTGCCATTCTTGCGAACACAACAGCATCACAAGCTCAATTACTGATCCTTGACGATTCTTCAGTGTTTCCAGAACTAAAGCGAGCAAACAATTTTGGTTTTTATAGCCTCCCGTAAAACAAACCTTTGCTGTCGTTCATAATTTCTTGTCCATGCGTGCCAAGCAAGGTTTTCTGGAAAAATGACCGAAAATCACCCATAATTTCTCGCAACAAAGGTGCAGTTGTTTCCAAAGCTGTCTGTAGCTTGTTGGTCAGATACTGTCTTCGCTCAGCAGGCTGCGATGGGGTGCCAGACCCGGCGTTGTTGGCGCTCAATTTAGACAGCTCCTCAGCCTAAATAAGGCAGTTTCGAAAAGTTCCCTTTGAAGTGCACAGATCTTACTTTGTACTCCTTTCCATCCTTTTTCATCGTCTCAGGTTCTACCATGATCGCCGAAATTGGTTCCTTCCTCTCCTCTTCCTCTTCTTCCTTAACGGGTGCCTCTCCATTGGTAGTAACGCCAGGGGAAGGAGGCTGCTTCGATTCTGCAGTGTCAGATGCAGCGGTAGTAGAAGAACCAGGCGTGCTACACGCTTCTTCTACAAACATGCAGTTATCTCATCACAACAGCAAACTTAAAGCAGTTAAAAGCGAACCAGATTTTTTACAGTTAGAATGAATTCACAATCAAACATTTCTTCTAAGATCTTACAGATGCTCTATGTACTAGGTTGGCTAATAAATAAGTTCGTTCGCTCCAGCGATTCTTACAAAGGCTTTAATCATATTTTGTCATTGTTTGGCATTTTTGGAAAGAGCACCTCAACGAGAACTGGATGATGCATTCTATTTAAGTAGAACCCATTAGGTTGATTCATAATTAATGCACGTTTTCTATACTTCATCTTCAAATCAAGACAATTCTCTTCTGAACAGACCCTTGTGTGCGCAATGAAAACCATTGTAAAGACCAAACCTTCGGCTATACAATACATACTTTTGTATTATCGCAGAGACTACTGAGAAGGTTTCCTAAAAACTGCGGAGAACTTTTCTGAGAAACCTCTACTTTGAGAAAGCATAACTCACTCTGAAATAATGTAGGATAGAGGACACTTTGCTCGTCTTATAGCCAATGGTCGGTTGAGCTGTGGTGCCAAGCTTGGATTTCATGGAATTTTTTTGAGAGAAATTATTGCGAAAAAACTAAGTACTCAATTTTTCTGGCATCTCGGCGGGTTCAAATATCGGCCTTTCTTGAAATTATCTCATTTTTCCTAGCTAGCAAGTGGGGAAAACCCTAGCGTTTTTCTATGATCAAACACACTGGGTCTACCCTTGCTGCACAGAGCAAAAGTTCTGCAGCCACCCCTTGCTTAAGAATTTTATACGGCAAAGAAGGGCCTCAATGATTATCCAAGTTTACCACGAATTTCTGAGCCTCACGGTGCTTGGAAAATTTTGTTCGAAAGGCAGTATTGTAGCACAGAACTTCATAATTGTAACGCATATTTTTTGGAATCAATAAGACTGTTCCTCGTGGATTTAGGGCAAAAAGAGTGAAAGGCAAAAT